AAGATTTAACCCAGAGAAGGCAACAAAGGGAAGAAGTTCTGTCGGATGAGAGCTTTAAAGTGCAAAATCTTATCAAATCCTTCATGAAAAACAAAACAACTAAAAACCCATGTTTTGAGCCCTGTATATGAGGTTGTTTATGGTGAGGGATTCTTGTTGTGTCATGACTGCTGCTTGTTTGCCTCCTCCTCGTAAGCGTTTCCGGTGCCGTTCTGGACATAGGATGAGCCTGAACCCAGTCCATACAAGTGACCACAATACTTTGCATCATCAATGTGATCCTCAAAAAACATCTGCAACGACAACGAAGCTACAGTCAGTACAAATGCTGCATTTAGTGCCAATTTAAAAGGTTTTCGTGATATTGAATAAGCATAGCACTTTGATGATTTGTTCTTTTTTTCATCTCAAGTCACACCTCTCTCATCTTGAAGAAAGCCATTCCTGTGAGGAGTGAGTCAGAGCCTGCCTGATGCTGAGGTCCAATTCTCTCCAGCTCAAGCTGCTCTGCTACCTCCTGCAGACCACCCTGCACATCACATGACAGAAATCAGGCACAGATTCCTTCTATTCACAGACTGCTACAAATTAGAGTAACCACGGATATACGTCACAGCAAATGCTGCAGTGACGACAGCAAAAAAAAAACAGTGTGATGCAAAATGAGATCTACAATGCCTTTAAAAAAAAGCATTCACCCCCAGTTTTCAGGTTTTTACAATAACACTGAACCACAGAAAATTAGATTTAGATTTTTTTATGTGCTCATTAACCAAAACATGTCAAAGTGAAAATATAACTTGTGATGATCTATTACACTATGCAAGTATTTAAGTCAGTAATTAGTATATGCATCTTGGTATATGCAACAGTGATAATTAGTCTTAGGTTTAGTCTTGGTACTAGACTTGGGTTTATAAGGATACGTATCAGTCAGTGCTGTTATCTTTTAACTAAAACGAATAAAAAAATAATGAATTAATTATTTTTTATTACAATTATTATTTAATTAATTATTAATCATTATTATGAATTAATTCAAAATAATTTTCAGTAACTGAAATAAAGCTCAAAATAAAATATTAAATAAAAAAACTTAAAAATTTAAACTAGAATGCTTCCATGCTTCCTTGCCAATTAACTGAAATAAGTTTAAGTACTACTTAAACTAAAACGGAGGTAAACATTTTTTTTAAATAAAGCTAAATATAAATATTTTAAACTAATAAAAATGACAAAAGCGAATATATTAAAATGTAAACTGAATATAAAAGATAATTTAAAAATCATATTTTGTTATTTTTGGTTGTTTGTTTTTTGCTCCTCAGACCAGTCTATTTAAAGATTTTTAATCTATTTAAAGCTAAATAGAAATATTAAAATGAATAAAATTGACAAAAGCACAATATTACTAAAACTAAAATGAAAATATAAAAATAAAAATGAATACATACTGTAACAGCATATATATATAAATAATACTAAAATCACACTGATCAATTCTGAATATTTGTGCTGTATAAATAAAATTAAAAAATGAAGGGATTATTGTAGATCATGTCTTTTTCATTTTTGAGTACTTTTCTGTTGTTCAATGGACTCATCAAAAAAAAAAAAAGACTCTAGGCTATAAAATACTGATGAATAAGTCCGTGAGTGTGTAAATACTTTGCAATGCCTGTATTTAATGCATTTAAATGTTAAAATACCTTCAAGTTCTTACAGCTCTTCATGAGGTATTTCACATCATAAATGATGGGAAAAAATAAACGAAGAATCTCGAAGAAGTCAACCTCTTCATCTGGCAATTTTGAGTTGGACAAACTTTTAATCAGGTACCCAAAGTCATAGCCACTGTTCGGAAAAGAGACAAAAATTAGCTTGAAAATAGATCGTATAATTCATTGAACCACAGCTTTAGACGTGTACTATAAGCAA